CCCCCCCCCCGCCCCCCACCACCACCTTTGCATTTCCCCCGTCCTTCCTTCCTTTTCCTCCCTTGCCCTCGAAATACTTAAACTAACTAAGAATCAAACAGAAAAGTAATAATCATGATAAGAAACAATAATCAGAGTAAACAGTCATGGTAACAATAACTTGGTAACCCTTTGGCCAAAGACGAAAATTATTTATGGATGGAGTCGTTGACATGCACACCAATCATCGTAGCAGACGCACCTTTTCGCTTCTGCTTGCGACTGTGAGTGGAAATGACTGAAAGGCGAAACGAGTGATTGGCCGTGGAATCTGACAAATGCTTGCTAACTGTTGACGACCGATGGCATAAGTACGTCTGGCTATGTAAAATTACTGCTTACAAACTTTGCCAACTCTTCCACAGCCTGCAACAAAACTGTAAACTGGAAAGGACCAGCCTAGGCATTCAACTCAGTCGTACTTTTTGGTTCACATGCAATGCCAAGCTTCAGAAGCATGCAAATTGTTTTTGGCAATGCTTGTGCCGCCGTGCGAGGCCGGAGCCGCAATATTCCCAAGTGCCCCTGTGTTATCTTATTTTATTTTTCGTTCGCAATGGAAAAAAGCGGAACAGTGTGCAAATTTCTCTAAAATCCAACATTTCTGTCAGATGCCGTCATTGCCCAATGTCATCTGGAAACATCTAGAGCTGATTGCCTAATTAACACCCAAGTGTCACTCTAGAGCCGCCTTAAACCAAATGTTGCTCTAAAAAGAAGCCACAACAACGAAAAAGACATGCCGCGACCGGAAACAAGATGAACCAATCGCGCGGTCTAGAAAAGACATTTCCGGGTCGGAAAAAAGAGCTCCATTGCTGGCTCTGGGGCAACGATTCCGGTTTGGTATATCGAGACGCAATGACAGCATAACTACGACGCAACGATGACAGCACGACGTTGCAAAATAAGTTGTTGGGCAACATTTGGAAACTCTTGACTTTGAGGCATCGTGCATAACGCAGCTAGTGCGCAATTTAAGACAAGCGTCATGCCGAGTTGTGATCCCATTGGTTCTTTTTGTCATGCTGTCGCGTCGTTGTGTTTTGTCGTTGCATTGAAAATCGCAGGACACAGGCTGGAGCTCTGCGGCAACATTGGGGGGCTGCATCCGAGGACCCTTGAGCGAAGGAGGCTTCGAAGCCTTCGAAG